TTAAGTGGTAGTTAAATTGTAAATCTTTCTTTATCCTTTACAAGGGATTAATGCAAGTATTTTTGTTGCTCCAATAGACCCACATTACGTACAAATTTGCTTTTGCATATCCATCATATTCATCATCTCCATTTTCATTTTCCCCCCATTTATAAAGCCGAATCGCCCTGTATAAACCAGTTTGACCGTCGACACCTCCGCGTCGAAAATTCCGAATGGAAAAGTACTGTTAATGCAGACTCTTAAGTACTCGCTGGCGATTCCTGTTTTATCAATCACTGCTCGCCAGGCCATTTACGTATGTGTGTTCAGCGGATTGCTTGATTGGTCTAATCAAAATGATTTGCTTCGAGAAAATAAAAAGCCTAGTGGCTAATTTGGCCTACGCCGGATCGGAGAAGAGCAGAAGAGCGCTCGGATTTTTTTACGACGTCTCTAATTGCGGTCGTTACGGATGAAATTAGATGCGTTATACAGAGTGATTGAATAAATTGTTGCGCTTTGAAAAGGGGTTGTTGAATTACTTAGTAGTTGATGAGTATATTGAAAGAGCTAGAAAGGTATGAGTTTGTGTTGTAAAGAAAATTCTACTGTACATATGCTGTACTGCATATAAGCCGGTACAGGCGTATCTTAGATACATTTCTAGATTGCTTTTTCGACAACGTAATTCCGCATCCAAATTCCCGACGATGTTTCCTGCAGTTCTCCGACATATTGTTTGTCCTTGAACAACGTTCATTCGAATGTGATTACCTCTCCGTTGCACGGAAATATCAAAACTCCCTTACCTAGTCTCGGTAAACTGAATCCGAAACATCAAACTTCATATATTTTCATACGCGAAGATCGATATGCATTCTCTTATTTCCACCTGACAGATCTTCGATTTTCTTTTGAATTCCTCGAGATCCGTATTGGTGCTTTGGTTTACCAAGCAGTTAAATTTCTGTTATAGTTTTTAACACGTTGAGTGCTGGGCTGGATATACTGAGTAGTTTCTTTAGACCAGCACGCTTTTGGTTCAATTGAGCTCAGATTCTTGTTCAATATTGGTATTATACAGGGTGGAAACGCCAAATTGAATAACTTCATTATTGCGGTTACTGTACATACTTATTTATAGAAAATCTCGAAATACTTAATTATAACATTTTAATTATAAATTGACATTTTTCAACATCAAAATTTGAGCCCAATCTTCAATGCTCTTCGAAGGACAGTTACAACCCCTATTTTTTTAAATGGGAAGTATAGGCTTGTGATATATCGTTTGAAAGGTCTCTTCATACATTATCCAAAATTGTTTTCCAGTTTATTTCAAAAATTAACATTAAAAAAATAAAATCTTATATCCCGTTTTAGCCTTAATAATAAGACAGTTTGTTTAAAAGGCCTTAGCAAATTGGTTTGTAACTATAACTACGTGAGAAGAATTGTCAGTGTTATAATTTTTGTTTGAATTTCGTTAATTGCAATTAATAAAAATGGTTAGATTAACAGAAATTCATAACAGTTTTGGTAAGGAGATTCGTATTTTTTACATTGTGAACAATTGTGTTTCATATCGAATTTAAGCCATCAGATGATTTTGTTTTTTGTGTTAATTTTTGAAATAAACTTTAAAACAATAACAATTTTAGATAGAGAATGAAGGGACCTTTTAAACGATATATCTCAAGCCTATACTTCCTTAAAAAAATTGGAGTTGTGACTGTCATTCAAAGGGGGTTGAAGATAGGGCTCACATTTTGACTTTCAGGAATGTCAATTTATAATTAAAATTTGACGTGTTTCGAGATTTTCTATAAATATGTTCACTAACCAAAATAATGAATTTATTAATTCCATTTAGCGTTTCCACCCTGTATGTGGTTGAAGGACCAGCAAAAAAAGACTAACAAAACAATGAAACACATTTTCTCTTCATTCCATAAAACGTAAAATATAGTTTAATATAGTAAAATGTAGAAACCTAAATTCATATTGGTAGAAATTTAATAAAAAATAGAAAATGTCTTATATAGGTAACAAGAATCCTGACCATCTTGTAGAAATGCAGATGCGTCATCCGCATAAAAAAAACGAAACAAGCAGAAAACCGTAACAATAACAATTCGACTAGAGTCGTACATTTCCCCGTGAACCACCCGAAACTCCATTATACTCAAAACTAGCACCGAACGCAATTTATTTGCCTGCAAAAATGGGCAAATAAAGTGCATCGGATGTTATATATTTTTATGTGTTTTCCTTGAAATAAAGTTTTTGTGCTTTTTTCGAGCGGGAGCAGGCGCTCTGCGAGCGCTCCTCCACGTTTTATGCTTTACGGGTTTCGAGAAGGAGAAAACCCCCCCGACGCCCCCCCCGACGCCGCCACGACGTCGTCTAGCTGAATTCGACGCCCACCCAATAAATACACCTTGCATTTTCGTATAGACCGACTATATAGGATTATTGCTATTTTTAGACATTTTTAAACGGTGGAAAGTATTAGTATTTCTTATATTAATAATGCTGATGATGATGATGATAATCGTTTATTATTTCGAGATATTAGTATTAGTAGTTTAGTAGTAGGTATTTTAAATAAATTTTTGAAACCGACTCTGTGCAAATTATATTGGGCTAAGTGAACTTTCCATCTTTGCACCTGTCAAGGCATTGAAAAGGGAATTTTCTGCTCGAATCCTCGACGACGTCACCGACGGATTCTCGGCGGGAAAACGTTCATTATCCATTCCCCCCCCTCCCTCTCTCTCACTCTCAATCATTCGACGAAATGACTCTTTCACCCTCTCTCTCTCCCCCTCCTACCCCTTACGATGTCTCCTACCCCTTAATCAACACGTGCTTCTCCAACACCGTTCATCATTTGTCTCCACTGACCGCGACAACATTCATTTGTTTGCCACCACGGCCAACTGCAGCACCATTACGGTCTTTTTTTCCTCCGCCATCCCCCCCACACCCTGCGGCTCCGTTCGGCGCATATTGACTCCCCCACAAGGAAGAAATACCCAATCAATATCATATTCTTACATGCACTCTAACCTTACTTCCGTATATGTACATACATTTTTTTAGCATTTTTTCCTTCCCAACGTCGTTGCATTTCTTTTTCTTATTCTCTAACCCAGTTCCTGGCGTCGCGACGCCTTATACTCAGTCGACGGCGGGTTGTAGAACTATATGCAGTTTTGTTGCATCCTGGGAGGCCATGAGCGGCGTCTCGTGCGATTTCGCTCGCCAAGCTCGTACTAATTAGCGCTCGTTACTCGCGTAAATTAATGCAAAAGTGCTTAGAGTGCCGTGGAATTTCTGGTGGGGGTAGACGGTCGGTGGGCGAAGGGGCGCGGGGCGCTTATCGCCCCCCCACCACGTTCGTACGGCGCGTAAATTAACGTCTGTTAATTGCTCTTTCGCCGGTTTTTTTGAATGAGTTGACAACGACACGACCACGTGATTCTACGCTGACTACGATTACTATTTTTTTATTTCCATGGTTTTTCTTCATCGGTTTTTCGGACAGGATTTGACGTGTTCGAGGGTGGAGGTTCATCGATATATTGTTTGTCTTCTCTCTATTATTATAATATCTATTCTATTAATTATTAGATTTTGTTTTATACTTTTTTAACAATTTCATTCAAATTTTATTTTAATAAAGTTTCAATTAATGTATTAGGTAATAGTTGATAAAATTTTTGTTTTCACTTATTATTCACGAGTAATTAAATTTTAGCTAAAATACGTACACGTTAATTAAACAATAACATTTTTAGTGAACAATCTTGCTTTAAAAAATAGGTAATTATTATAAATTAAAACAAAATTATTTGCATATTTCATCTAAAATTCATTTTATATGGTAATAAAAAATTTAATTATTATTGTATCATTAAATTTTGAAAAAAAATAAATCCCTAGATTCACTAAAGGTAACGTAATTTAGAATAATTTTAAAAATTTCTGGTTTATAAACCGTTTTTTATATATCTACCTACAAAGTTTTATTAAAAAAAATTAATATGTAGACTAATGTGTAAATTTTAATAAAAAAAATACACTTCGTACATTTAATTAAAACCATAACGTAAATTAGAAGTAATTTAAAAAAAAACGTAACCATCATTTCATTTTTAACTTATGCATTTTTAAAGGCCAATTTAATATAAATAACATAATTGAAATTTGTTTAATTCCACAAAAATCCATAATTTATATTTGCGTTGATACTACATTTGTATGTATATGTAACATAATATATTTTTGTTAATTCAACGGTAAATATTTGCATCTGTTTAATTAATTAGTTCGATATTTTTTTCGTTTTGCAATTCGCCAACGTTTCGGTATTAAAAATTTTCGCCGGCTTGCATAATCCCCGTTGTTTTTTAATTATACGAAATAATTCAGGTATTCTCTCATTTATTTCACAAATTCATATTTGTTCGTTAATTAATATTTACATTATGATTTAATTAAAATTTGATTCCGAATTATTTGGAACTTTTTAATGAAACTTTATTAAAATACGCAGGCGAATTATATAAACATACGCCGAAATAACTATGAAATAATCGCATTGCAGTGTTTTATGTATGTTCCGCTATTCGATGGACTGTAAAAAATTAACTGCATTTTAACCAAAAAAAGAAACCACTTACAGAAAGGACAAAACTATGGGCTAGCTAGATAAATAATTTCGGACGATTCGACAAAAAAAGTTCCTCTTAATACAAAACACAAGTTCCTACAGTAGCGACAGATATAAATGTTCCATTTTAGATATATTTTGATAAACCTAGATTAGCTATTGTCTAAATAAAGTGCATTTATGTCGAAATCACCCCCTATAAAAAAAATGACGGCCATTCGTCCCATACCGGAGGCGGCTATGGAAAGCTCGGACAGCAGCGATTCGTGCGCCACCAACGGCAATAACGACGTTAACTTGAGCTTATACAAGCCGAGCTTCAAATACAACGATTTCGTTAACAAACTCGACTCTTACAATAACAATCAATTGCTCTTGCCGACGCAATTCTACAAGACATTACTGGCCAAAGCCGTGCTATCCAGCAATGACGACAAGACCAACGTCTATAAAAACATGTTTTTCGGTAAAGACAGAGATTTCGAACAGGTACGGTTTTCCTTCAATTAGATAGCAGGTAGTTTATTTCAATTCAATTCATTGCTCAATTGCTCAACATCAGCATTGTTTTTCTTTTAGTTACCTCTTAATTGAAAGCGTGTTTTTCATTCGATTTCAGAAAGCCTTCGGTTGGGATGGCAGCCAAACGGGCGGAAGCCCCTCGGGGCCTCAATCCGGAGGCGTCGGGGGTCAAGGTGCCCAAGGATTGGTCCATTGGATGAGCGTCATGGCCGAGCACATGGACCCAGCGATGTCCCATTACATGCCTTGGAGTCAAGAGGTAAGCTCCATTAACTCTATCCATTTGATTAAATTTTGGTCAATGTGATCTATGGGTGCAACAAAGACGACTTCTATTAGTCTCATATGAAGGAAAAAGAAAGAGTGATATTGTGGCAACTTTCTTACTTTAACCACTGTTGTACTAGGAATCATTCTTTTTTCTACTCATGGAACTGTTCATATATTGCAAGAAAATTTGCACTTAGGGTTTTATTAATCCTTAAATTATCATCACTAGAACTGTGCATTTTGTAACCATATTAAATTGACTTTAGAAAGACTATAATACAACGTAGAATATACAAAAATAAATATTATTCAATAAACGCTATAAAGTTAATTAAAATTGTTAATCCCATAAAAAATTAGCGAAAGATAAGGCTAATAGGTGTGTACTATATACAGATGAAAACATTTCGATAATTAGGGTTGTTTATTGTCACGTAGGCTACGGCACTGCCGCGGTCGAGCATTAATATTCATATCGGTCCTCTGTTATGCAATAATGAAGTTTTCACTTAATTAGTTTTTCTAAATATCGGCATATAGTTTAAATGTTTTCGCTAATTAAATTTATTTTAATTACAACTTCGAGCGGTGTATGTCATTCGGTTGGAGTGTATCATTTCGACCCCGAAATTAACGGCGCGCGGGGAAAATTTATTCGTTCATTTCAAAATGCAAATTGACCGCGCGATAAATGAATTTATACTTAATAAGGACCGTAGGGAAAAATTCGTATTGCCTATACATTTCGAGCACTTTTTACACATACCATCAAAATTAATATTATGCTAATTTTTAATGTGGTGTGTTATAACATGTTGAAATTTAATAAAAATAATCGTGACAATCCTAATTTTTTTAGGAAGGGATGCTAATTTTTTGTTATTATGTAATATCGGTATAGGGGTGTGTATAAATTACGGCGACTTACCTTGTATACGGAAAACTGTTTGGAATAATTAAATGAAGCTATTTTATATTAGTCAATCATTTATTTTTGAATAATTTGGCAGTACTATGTGTTATTATTAGGTGTAGCTATGTATAATTTGGCGCTTTTAATTAAAGTATAGATAATAAAAAATTGCATATTTTGCTCCAACAAGGTATATAAATTGCAAAGCATTAAAAAATTATAAAAAATGATTTATATTCATGAAACATATTTAGTTCAAACTGCGTACGGACGTCACTGGTAAAAATTAAAAAAAAATCTTTTACCTAAAAAAATGCTCCTTAATAATTAAAAAGTGTCTACAAAATTTCATAAAAAAATATCTGGAGTAATAAGAAAATTATGATAGAAAAGTTTTTTTTCTAAAACTGCAACACCCTGTAGCTTGAAAACTAAGAGGTTTAGGATATATATTGATTTAAACTTTTCTTCTTAAAATCATTCAAATATTCACATCCTGAAGTATCTGCACTTCATTAATTAACATCCTGTATACCTACAACATGTTTTTTCTTTTCATTTAAGCAAATATTAGGTCAGCTAAGCACTGCACAGGTTATTGTTGAGGTTTCTTTTGTGAAAAGGGATAGTCAAAAAAATGCTTGCGTTCGGAAGCTTGCAGTTTCTGGGGTCGTCGAAGCCTCACTAGTTAAGGATTAACTAGTGAGAAAAAGAATTAATTGAAGAGGCTTTAAAAAAAATCTTTTTCTATATCACCCTGTATTTGAACGCATGTATAGGAAGTAAATTTAAAAACGAGCATTCGATCACGGACGTGGTGACGCAAAGTCATGCCCTACCTGTTTTCCAATTGTTATACTGTTAATTGTCTTCTACTTCGGGACCCTTTTCTACGTAGGTACTACGCGTCGAAAATTCTTAAGAAGGAAGTGATTTTTATAAAACGAATATTACGCGCGAAAGCACTTCTCAATGAATAGTCACGTAAACTCATCTTTAAATTTCATTTTAAAAGTAGATATCATTTGCGTATTTAATATAGTATAACAGAACCCAAAAGCATCTGAAGGTAAATCTTTATAAGAAATTTTCGACTTAAAATTAGACCCCACCATCAAAAAAAAATAAAAAATCATACATCACAATTTAGTGCTATTTTAGTGCTTTCGAATGCACTACTCAGAATTTCATTTAATGTAATTAATCTTAAAGATATTTGATAGAAACGTATTGAAGTCAATAGAAAAACAGATAAACATAGAAAAAATACATTTAAACATAGTAATAGGGAAACGATTTTGATCTCTAATTTTTCAATGATTTTAGTGCTTCTAAAGTAGTTAATGTCAGATTTTAGTGCTCAACCCTTAAACCCAAAAAATTTCATTTTTCTATTTTGTATAATCTGACCTCCAAGAGTAAAGTGTCATTAAAAATATAGATAGAAAAATGATTTTTGTTTCATATTCTTTGTTCATTTTAGTGCTTTTAAGATCTTTGAAGAAGCTTTTTCAGATTTTAGTGCTCAACCCTTAAACCCAAAAAATCACATTTTTACTCTTGGAGGTCAGACTACAAAATGGTAAAAGTATGATTTTTTGGGTTTAAGGGTTGAGCACTAAAATTTGGCATTAACTACTTTAAAAGCACTTAAATCATTGAAAAATTAGAGATCAAAATCGTTTCCCTATTACTATGTTTAAATGTACTTTTTCTATGTTTATCTGTTTTTCTTTTGACTCCAATACGTTTTTATCAAATATCTTTAAGATTAATTACCTTTAATGAAATTCTGAGTAGTGCATTCGAAAGCACTAAAATAGCACTAAATTCCGATATATTATTTTTTAATTTTGTTCAAATATTTAAATGTGGGGGTGCTAGCTTTATAAACTTAGCACCGCCATTTTCAATCGCAATTTTCTGCTCAACCAGTTGAGCACTAAAATTAGGAATTGGGCACTAAAATAGCACTAAAATAGCACTAAAATAGCACTAAAATAGCAATAAAATAGCACTAAATTATGATGTATGATTTTTAATTTTTTTTTTGATGGGGGGGTTGCTAGGTTCACGCTGGTCAAAACTCACCCATTTTAAAATAAGTATCTACATAATAAAAAATTAAATCCCTGTTGATATATAAATTGTATAACATATAAAACAGATATGGAATAAATCGCGTCTCAAGGATACACGTATAGTATATCTACGTGTAAACCAACCAATATGGCATTCATCGGCGCATCTCCCCAAACGATGTTAATTACTTAGCTGGCCGTCAGCACGAACGACATACGAGAGAGACACTTACTGCGGCCATATGTGTTCGAACGTTAAATGACGGAGATACTGTGGAAAAAACGCACTAAAAAACGTCTATTTCGGATCTCTAATGAGCTCCGGCGAGTAACGTTACACCGAACAGAAACGCGGATTCGGTTCGTTACCGAGCAAGAGGAGGAGAATTTTTTCGAAAAATCTGTTACAGAAATATGCGAAGGAGCGACTGTTAAAAATAAACGAGATCTCGGACAGGAAGGGGAAGGCGATTTCAAACGATCACTTGTTGATTCGTTGGTTTTATCAATCTTAATTAATACTTGCTAAAAACAGGACTAAATAATGATGGAACCAGGTGCCTATACTAGCAAGTTTTAAAAACATGAACAATGAACAATGAACAACAAACATCAACATGAATCTTCATCAAATCTTCTTCAGCAAGATTATTTTGTATAATCCAAAGGAATCTGAAAGTTGGGAGTTACCAATGAGGATATATCGAGGATGCATGTTCTGAATCAACATGAATCTTCATCAAATCTTCTTCAGCAAGATTATTTTGTATGATCCAAAGAAATCTGAAAGTTGGGAGTTACCAATGAGGATATATCGAGGATGCATATGTTCTGAATCAACATGAATCTTCATCAAATCTTCTTGAGCAAGAATATTTTGTATAATCCAAAGGAATCTGAAAGTTGGGAGTTACCAATGAGGATATATCGAGGATGCATGTTCTGAATCAACATGAATCTTCATCAAATCTTCTTCAGCAAGAATATTTTGTATAATCCAAAGGAATCTGAAAGTTGGGAGTTACCAATGAGGATATATCGAGGATGCATATGTTCTGAATCAACTTGAATCTTCATCAAATCTTCTTGAGCAAGAATATTTTGTATAATCCAAAGGAATCTGAAAGTTGGGAGTTACCAATGAGGATATATCGAGGATGCATGTTCTGAATCAACATGAATCTTCATCAAATCTTCTTCAGCAAGAATATTTTGTATAATCCAAAGGAATGTGAAAGTTGGGAGTTACCAATGAGGATATATCGAGGATGCATGTTCTGAATCAACATGAATCTTCATCAAATCTTCTTCAGCAAGAATATTTTGTATAATCCAAAGGAATCTGAAAGTTGGGAGTTACCAATGAGGATATATCGAGGATGCATATGTTCTGAATCAACATGAATCTTCATCAAATCTTCTTCAGCAAGATTATTTTGTATAATCCAAAGGAATCTGAAAGTTGGGAGTTACCAATGAGGATATATCGAGGATGCATGTTCTGAATCAACATAAATCTTCATCAAATCTTCTTCAGCAAGAATATTTTGTATAATCCAAAGGAATCTGAAAGTTGGGAGTTACCAATGAGGATATATCGAGGAAGCTTTTTTGCTCTTCTTCTACTTCAATGTTTCCACGGAGGCCTGAAAAATTGGCGCGGCAAAAATTGATCGAGGCGATTTTCTTAGACTTTTCTCTTAAGGAATTTGGTTTCGAAAATTACTTGGCGTTCCGGCCGTGATTTATCGCCTTCCTGTTTCCATTCAGTGCCTGCGGGGCCGAATTAAAATGTCAATGGGGCCGGTCACAATTTTGGTGCCGTAAATCTCGCTACAAAAGCCACTATTTTCCGATTTAAATGCGATACAAAAGGAACGCACAATAATGGCCGGCGTGTGGAAACGGCAGAAACGAAGGGGTTGAATGGGTGCGTGTTTTGTAACGTCCTAATGTGCTTTTTGTCATTTTTTACGGGTTATGATTTTACTCTTG